TTCAGTTCCTTGAGGTGGCCTAGTGGCAAGGAGCTGCAACTACAATCCCAGAGGCAAACGGTTCGAATCCACCAGATGCTCTGCTGGGAAAAGGAGGGACAATCTCCTGTACCAGTCAGATCTGATTTGACGGTACACTCACACCAATTTGACGGTACACACACAAAATAATTAAAAAAAATTTTTTCAATTAAAAAATATTGGGGTTTCCAAAATTGGGTTTTCCTTCTCTTGCAAGTTTCTGCCTTACATGGGTTCCAACTTTTGGGTTTAAATATTTTTATTTTATATCTATTTTTTTCTTTGTTGTTGTACATTTTCTTCCTCCATTCCCTTACCCTCTCCCCTCCTACCCTTCAATGTACCTCTTGTTCCAGATTGCGGTCACACTCATAATGCCTGATCATATATTCCTTTTGGACAGTTCTTTCTCTCATCTTTTCTAATGCAGTGTTCATAATCTATCCACTCTTTCCTCAACTCCCAGTGTCTGTCCTATTTTATAACAGCAATGTTGTGCAGTATTTCTCCTCTTGTGAATGAGATATTTCACTCAACATAATGTCCTCCAGCCTCCCCCAGCTTGTGTAATGATTTATAAGTTCATTATTTTTCTTTTAAAGAATAAATTGGTTTTAATGACCATTATAGAAAGTTAATTCACTTCAATGATGCTGGAACGATGTGCCACTCACAGCAATATATAAAGAGTTCATTATTTTTCAATGCTCTGTAATATTCTATTATGTGAAAGTACCACAGTTTTTCCATCCATTTGTTTGTTGATGGGCACTTGGGTTGCTGCGATCTCTTTGATATTGTGAACAACACAGCAATAAACATGGGTGTGCATACATCTGTTTTGAGTGGTGGCTCTGGTTTCTTTAGAGTATATTCCCAATAGTGTGATTGCTGGGTCAAATGGTATTTCTGTTTCTAACTTACTGAGAAAGCACTAAACCACCTTCCATAGTGGTTGTAACATTTTACGCTCCCACCAGCAGTGAATAAGAATTCCGATCTCTCCACAACCTCGCCAGCATTTGTTGTTTGCTCTGTCAAACTTTGCTATCGCTGCTGGGGTGAGATGATATCTCATAGTTATTTTGATTTACATCTCTCCAATAGCTGGAGATTATGAACATTTCTTCATGTGTTTGTTTGCCATCTGAATGTCTTCTTTGGAGTGTCTATTCATATCCCATGCCCATTTTGTGATTGGGTTGTTTACCTTTTTCTTGTGGAAGTGCTGAAGTATCCTATAAATTTTAAATATAAGTCCCTTATCAGATATGTCATTGCTAAATATTTTTTCCCAGTCTGTGTGTTTCCTTCTTACCCTGTTGAAGAAGTCTTTGATGTACATGGGGATTTGATTCTTAGAGGGTCCCATTCATCTATTTTATTCTCTCCTGGTTTTAGGTTTTTTATTATGCTTGGAAGACTGTTCACGTTCTGGATTAGGGCTTCTAGAGTTCTTCCTTGCTTTTCTCTGATGAATTTAATAGTCTTTGGTTTCACTTCTAGGTCCCTGATCCACCTTGAGTTGTTTTTTTGTGTAAAGTGTAAGCTGTGGGTCTTTCTTACTTACGTTTTCTGCAGATAGTTTTGCAATTTTGCCAATTGCCATTTCTCCACTTTACTGATTTTGTCTCCTTGTCAAAGATCAGTTGACCACAGATAGATGAGCTGAGCTGATTTCTGGCTTCTTAGTTCTATTTTATTGATCTATGTGTCTGTCACTGTACCAGTACCAGTCTATAAGTACATTTCACTGTCCTGAGTGATTGTACTCTGTTGACTTCCCTAAGAGACTTTATAAATGTAAATGTGGTTTTGTTTGCTCTGTGAGCTATTGCAACAGATTTCAGACCCAGCAGAGCAGTAGTGTTGAATTAGTACAAAGAGGTATGGGAGTGTGGGCGACCTGCCTGACCTCATGGGAAATGCTTTGTGCTGTGGGTGATGATGATGATGATGATGATGATGATGATGGTGGGGGCACTTCCCTTTGTGAAGCTGGTAGAGGCCAGATGTGGCTATGCCCAGGTAATCCTGGCTCTTTTCACAGTGACCCCACAGAACAGATCAGAACTGTCCCACAGGGTTTCCAAGGCTGTAGGTCTTTCAGAAGCAGAGGGCCTTGTCTGTCTCCCACTGATCGGTTAGTAGGTCGAGTTCACCAGCCTCTCACTTAGCAGCTAGCTACTTAACCACTGCACCACCAGGGCTAGCTCTTCTGCTGCTGCTCAGTATTTTAAAAGTCTGTTCTGTGTCCACGCTCAGGGCAATGGTCCAAAAGGGGACAAGCTGAAGCAAGAAAAGCAGTGGCAGCCCCCTATCTGGGGCCCTTTCTCTCCTTTCCCTTACCTATCCAGCCCCACTACACGTCAACAACACGCCTGTTAATAAAACACACTCTGCAGAAACTCCTTGCATGATCAGTGTCTACATTTAGGAGGGAAAAGAAAAATACAGAACAAAGTAAAAATCACCCATAATCCCAGGTCTTCAAAATCATCAATGCCAATATTTTGATGTATTTACATCTAGGCTTTTTGGAGATTCTTAAACAAGCCCATCTGTCTGCCATGGAGTGGCTGGTGGATTTGAACTGTGGGAGAGGTGTGGACTCTGTGTTAGCAGTGCAGCACCCTACAGACCAGGCCCCCAGAGCACTCTTGTTTTCAGGCAGTGAGGGTCACAATGGGAGGCATGGACTGCTTTCTCTGTCACTGCCCATGACAGCAGGTGCTTTGGGTGTGAAGGCTTCATGTCTTACCTGGGTCCACGGCAATCAGTGTCTCCAGTTCTCGGATCTTCTTCACAGCGGATGCAGATGCGATGCTGTAGTGCAAAGGCTCCTGGGAGATAGGATGGACTTCCAGAACGGCCTCAGTGCTGAGACAGGTGGCTGGCATCTGCATGGCCTTCAGGTCCATCAGAATGGTGTGACCAGGAGCGCTGGCAAAAGCCAGTGGAGCTTCTAGAACACATGGAAGGAGGGATGGAGCTTAGACACTTCCTAAAACCAGGCCCTTCTCAGCCTACTACTCACAGGCAGGTGTCACCTGTTCCCCATGTCTGCTCACAGTGCCCCCTGCACCCCTTGTCGGCATTAGAGAGAGCACACGGGCTCAGGCACCAGCCAGGTGTCACTGAGGTCAGTGCCTCCAGGTGTGGGGAAAGGTGTGAGGTGCACCCCACATGGAAGGCTCCGTCAGCTTCCTCCCACGGTCGTCAGAAAACGTCTGCTCAATTCGAGCACTGAGTAGACGGTCTCCTCCGTGTGACTCGCAGCCATGGAAACCCGAGTTCGTTCCAACTCAACAGCAACAAATTCTGGGGCTTGTTTTTGTTTGTTTGTTACTTTTTATATCCCCTTCTCATATGTTATTTGGTTTGCATATAATCATTCATATTCATTGTGTTTCATTCATGTACATATTGAGTTTTATACAATCATTCACATACAGTGTATTTTATATCATTAATTACTATCAATGTCTACTTATTACTGCCCCATCTTTTCAAGTCCCCATTGAAGCTTTCCTGTCCCTTTGCTCACCAACGTCTGCTCTCCTAGTGATTTCTTTGGGGTTTTTAACGATACGTGAAGCCATTTTGCTTCACTCTGCAGCCAGTGTTGGGTTTGGTGCCGTCTCTGAAGACTGAAGGGCGCTCTGGTGGTTTAGTGGTCAGGATCTGTGCTGCCATTCCGTCAAAAGGCAAAGGTTTCAAATCCACCAGCTGCCTCTCAGGAGAGAAAGATGTTTCGTCTCCTCCCATGTGATTAAACTGCCTCTGAAAACCAGCTAGAGGCTCAGCTATGGGTTGCTT